ATAAAAAAAAATAAAAATTGCTGTTGAAATTGTTTCAGTAAAAAGAAATTCTATACTGCAACAAAATTTCTACACTGGAATTCCCCGTTACACGTTAGAGCGTTGTTCATGCCACTTTTCGAGGCAGCAATTACTTTAATTGTCGTCAAAAAGGAAATCATACCACAATTGCTATTACTGATGCGTTTCCACGTATCAGACGTCCGTCACTAATTGACGATACCAATTTAACTACGTGATGATATAGTTGCGTTGCTCAATGGAAGACTTTTGTTACACATATAGGATATTTACATATGCAGAACAAGCAGCGTAGTCCTACGAAACATTTTACATACGTATGTATAACGCATTGTAGCTGTATGCTGAAGAGTCTACCGAAGATAATGATCCAGGCGAGGCGGACATTGATAGCGCTGATTACGACTCTAATTACGATGATGATGGTTCCGCATCGCACGACTATTCCGGCGACTATCATACTCCGCTGACTTATGGCGCTAGACCGTCAGACTTTCTTGACGTTACGTCTACGTCGATACCAATACCTACATCCCGGGATCCCGGTGCCAATGAGGACATGGTTGAGTTGCTGGCAGCCTTGCGAAAAGTGGAAGCGAAGCATGGACAGGACTTCGAGAGGGACATACGAGAGAATCATAAGTAAGGCACTGGCGATGCATTATTTATATATTATTTTTTTAGAAAATAATATTTTGTAATAAGATAAGTTGATAAGCACATTTTTGTCGGTTCTTAATCAAAGAATTCGCGATTTCTTAAAAGAAAAAGACTAGAATGGCCAGATTATTAACACACTTACTGTCGTAATGATGATCGCCTGATTTTTTTTAGTATGTTAACTCTCTACCACTTGATATAAAATTTTAAATCACATGAATAGTTAGATTAACAATGTAGAAAGTATACAAACTCAATCCTACGATCAATCCTGCCAAATTAACAATGAAGAAATAGTAAGGGCTCGAGAGAATAGGCGCTGTTCAAAATGCGCTAATTGTTCAAAAAAATCTCTCAATATTTACAGATTAATTTATGGAAGAGATGAAAGAACAACGATAAATTAAAACAATGAATAGTTCATACGTTTCGGTTCTTCTAACTTTCTTCAGCAGTAATGGTAGACGCAAAAAATTACATATTTTGTGTTCTTACGCACGAAAAATGATTGGAAGATGCTTTGTAACTTTTAATATCTCGGTATTTCGTTGATATTTAGAAGCTCTTTATTCCTCTAAAATTTAAACAAAAAGACTAGTTCTAAATTTTGAATGCAGCAGCGGCGAAATTTTGCGTGCTGCGAGAATTTAAAGAGCAACTATTCAAAAATATTTGCAGTGAAGTAAAAAAAAAGTGAATTTCTAATCATTTTTATATTACTATTGATAAATTCAATAAAACAAATATACATCCTACACACATATTGTTTTTTATTTTAATTATGAAATAATTTTCTCAATAATCATTTTTCTTATTAGCAAAAAAATTTATGGCACGACCATGTACTATGTATATATAAAACTCAGTGAACTCAGACAACGTTAATTATACACTTTGAATTGTATTTTTTATTGCATGTAGAACTATCGAACGAGAGCGCTTTAAAGGGGGACACAAAGGGCAATTGAATCAGGAGAAAAAGACGAAAGAGATAAATAGCACCAGACACAAACCTGATGTCGTCACCAGAGGAGCTACAAATTCAGAATACATCAAAGAGGGTATTAAATCAAAGCGATCGGTGAATGATGGTTCGACTGACGATATTGTGAGAGATGAAACGAATAGCAAACGACATAATACTAGGAGGATTGTATCTAGAGCGCGTTCTTATGCAAATGGTGAGAACAACACAAATGACAATTCTGGGCCAAATTCAACATTGTAAGTATTTATACAGCGTAGTTTATAAATTGAAACGAAAATCATAAAGTAAAGAATATATCAGAAAAATATTTTTGCACATTTATTATACAAAATAGAAGAGAATCCTTTATAATCAAGACACTACTTTGTTTTCAATCTTATCGCAGTTGAGTATTCTTTCTTTTTATCTTTAATTGATAGTCGATCAATATTTAACTAGTAACTCACAGTTATTACAGTGTCTTGAATTTCTGGAATATCGAATCTTTGACCTTTCAACTGCAATTTCGATTTTTGGAAACAAAAATATAGCCAGAGAGATAAATCAAATGCTTGGACCGCAATACGCGTGCGTGAACTTAGTAAAATGTGAGTTATCTCACTCTAGTTGAGCATTTTTATGAGTGAGGAAATTTTAATAAAAATGATACACAGATAAAATTCAGAATTTCTTTAACAAATATCTTTTAATAAGCCTGGTTACATACATTCTGCAGTTTAAGTTTTGGAACAAAAATCACAAAATGAAGGATACATCAGAAAAATATTTCAAACATTTCTGTTCAAAATAGAATTCTTTAGAATCAATATCATTCTGCTTTCCTTTTCAATCCTTTCATCACCGTTAATCTTTAATAAGTTGAATTCTTAGAAATGATGATCGTTAAGATTACATTAAATTAGACCAATTGAACGTTGGGGAAGTAGAACGAGATGGAATGCAATACGGGATAAATAAATTTGACATTTTCGGTGTTGAATCAACTATTTTCTGAGACAGACATCCTCCAAAGAAGTATCACGTCAATGCGCTGGAGACGATTCCTTTGGCGCGCCATGATCGCTTAAGCGAGGGGATTACTCAACCTAACAGATATGAAAATGAAAGCACGGATACTGTAAGCGACAGAAGGATCAGCTGGCGGCATCGCGACACCTCAAGAAATAAAACTGAGATTCGAGAAGCCGTTCAGGTGGGTAAATAATTGTTAGGGGGTTACGCCGCGTAGATAAAGCCGGTGCACTAAATTCCTCACAATAGCCGAGTGAACAACACATAGCGTTGTAATTGAATTAGAATCACGAAGTGGCTGCAAGGGAAAATCATCGGAGATTGACTCGAAGACATTTGCGTGCACCACGGCAGGTTTACGCCATTCACTATGGGGCGGACAGCACCCTCTTCTCAACGCAGGACGAGCACACCGGTAACGGCAGGGTACGACACTACGACGGCGTTTTCAGGGCGTGGAAGCCGAGTGAGTGGGTTGCCGATCTTGGCATGAGCAGGTATTTCACACTTGCTGGCGATGGCAAACTTACCGTTCATGAGTCAGGCTTGTACCTCGTGTACGCGCAGATCCACTATCTAGACAGACACGACGAGAATGGCTTTCGCATACTGGTGAATGGCAGATCAATATTGCAGTGCATGGTAAGGACTGGATAATACTAAGGAAGGAATTTTAGTAATTAATGATGAATTTATATCAGAAAGGTTCTATATAATGAATATAAATTTAAATATAAAAAAAATCGTAGACTAAAAAAACCAAAAGAGTAGATTCGATTTTCGCTGTTATTATTATTAAAAATAAATACGATTAAACTACATAAGCAAACGTTTCAACTTTATGGATGTTCCAAATGTGTATTATAGTCATTTAAAATATAAAAATTGTATGAAAATACAAAATAGCAAATATAATTTTCAGGTGTATAGCCCAGGTATGGATCACAAAAGTCGCTCGTGTTTCTCAGCCCAAGTGATCGTCCTTCAAGCAGGCGATCACTTAGTCTTGAAGGATATTGGAGCAGCGAGATTCACTCTTTTCCATCATGATAAAAGTTTTTTTGGTTTAGTGAAAGTTGGTGAATCGAGACAGCAACAAAGACATCCATAGACACATAGTAATTTTAAACGCTGTAGAATTATCAGCGCTAAAAAGTGATATGCGATTTATAGTCATCGACTTTCCATATTTTTTAAAGTTAGCTGTAAATTCGCATAATTTGTACCTAATGTAACATGACTAATACACTTTTAATTTGTGTATGCGAGAATTTGTGTAAGAGTATACTATTTCTTAGTAATTTAGTTTTGTAAATTGCATGATCTTTTAGGATTTTATATATTTTATTATATTAATTACACTTTGTGCTATACATTATTTCTGTTTACACAGAAAATTGCTATGAATATTTTAATTTTATTCTTTTATAAATATTATACATATGTGTGTAGACAGATCGATACTATTTGTATAAGAAGAAAATAAAAAAATA